CAATATGGTGATCAAAATAAGTATAATAAAATAAATATTAACATTGGAAGCAATTTAACAATAATAGTGTTAGTCAAATCAAATATAAAATAACCTAATCATGATACTAGCAATATAAAATAAAATAAGAGTAATTAATTTAATTAATTACTTACATCCAGCACGTTCCTTTAAATTGCTATATCATGAATAAACTGTTAGTAACTTCAATAAAAAAATTTAAAGTAAACGAAAATTAAATTAAATAAAAAGTAGAGTTAATTTGGTCCAAACCCTCAGTTATTTATACCTTTCACGCCTTGGTTTAAATACGGAACCACGGGTTTAGTATAGACTCCTTGGAGTGCTTAGGGGAATTATTATGGAAGAATAAGGAGGGTACAAATTAGGTTAAAGAGGAAGAAGAGAATGATTTTTGGTGTAAGGTGAGAGAGAATGATTATTGGTGCCCCTACATCAGAAATGAGGGGGTATTTATAGAGAAAATGTGCTGAGGAAGCACACGGAACCCTAAAATGATAAAAACCTTAAAAAAGTATCCCGCGACACGGAAAAGTGTACCGTGACACGGGAAATCCCACCGTCAGACGGGAAACTTTCCTGTGACACGGTACAAATTTGCGTGACACGAGAAATATTTAGGTTACAGGAAGTGAAAACGCGTTTAGGGATTACGCGGAGAAAACACGGAATGTCCCGTGACACGACACAGGTATCGTGACACGGAAGTATCCACTGTGACATGGTACAGTACACCGTTTCACGGTGTGGGAGACGCGGAAATTACACGGAAACAGCTCCGTGTCACGGGGAATCTCACCGTTAGACGGTGTAAATTCCCGTGACACGATGGAAAATGCCGCGACGCGGGAGTTGTTTAGGTATGAAGAACACAAATAGGACACGGAATAGCCCCGCGTCACAGCAAGGGCACCGTGTCACGGGGATTCCCACCGTCAGACGGTGCAATTTCCCGTGAGACGGTGGAATTGCACTGTGCGCGGTGATTCCAGGTTTTTACCCGTTTTTAAAACTATCGTAACTTTTGATCCGTAACTCGGAATGAGAAATATAATATATCATTGGAAATATTATCAAGTCTACTTTCCAACCCAATTAGAATGAAGTCAAAATAATATATATATTTCAAGATATGGCCGTTTTAGTGGAAGGGTGTCGGTTTTAGGCCGAGTTTGGTGTTTTGCTCATATCTTTTTCGTTATAGCTCGGATTTGGGCTTATGATATATTTTTGGAAAGATTATTTAAAGGCCTATCCAAAAAAATAATAATTGGATAAAAATGTTATAGCAATAAAATCAATTTCTCTCAGTGGACACGAAAAGTGAAAAATAGGTTATGGTTTAGGGAAATGAGCTAGAAATTGGATTGGTTCATGAAATATATTGGATAGAACATGGATTTAAGCACTCCAAAGATTAAATACTTAACTCGACCAATAATGGCGGTGAAAGGTGTTCATCAACAGGTTTGGTTTTGGGGATATATTTTTAGGTGTCTACAGTTACCGATGCATGACAAAACCAAATTAAATTAGAGAACAAAAAATAAACGTTTCATAGATAAAATTTTGAAGGCATGCAAATAAATAAAAGAATTTTTTCTAAAACGATTTTTTATCGACACTAATGATACTCTACATGCTTATGACACTTTGTAGACTTAAGACTTTATATGTACTTTAGGACTTGCTCGCTTTGCAGTGTTTCATTTGTCAATATGATCAATCGTTACGACCAATCCTTTCGGTGTACTTTTGAAGAATAACTTTAAAAAAGTTATACTATCATTGTATGGCCATCATTGCATTGTGCGCCAATACCCCTTGCGCCCTGGCGTCTGACGCTGAACATTGAGGATTAAACTAGTTATTCAGGTATCGGGCGTTTGGCGTCTGACGCTAAGGTCTATTTTTCCCGGGATTCGTTTGCTACGATGTTCTTTTGAGCGGCAGTTTTCCTCATCCCTTTTTGGGGATGTCAGTGTAACTGACGCCTTTGTGAGTAACTGTTGTTTGGAGATTTGGTCATGAACTTTTTTCCTTTGACTCCTTCGTTCATTGCTTTTTTTTGTGTCGTCATGACCCTTGATCATAATTATCTGATGTTCCGTTCCTTTGTCAATGTCGCTACAACTTGCTGGTGTGACCCTTGACATTGAGGTTCCCTATTCACACACGTCGTCATGATCTTTATTTACGCTATCATCTTCATGGCGTCGAGGTGTATGATGTTTTCATACATAATATTAAAATCGTTAAGCTTAATCTTGGTGTTGAGTAACCTGTTCGTCATCACTCTAAACACTAATGTCGGATTTTTTCATTAAGTCAAAAATAAATTTAAAATATGAATTGTAAACGATGCGTAAAAAGACTTAGATATTGCACATGACGTTGATTCATAAACCAAGATGTAACCACATGTTTCATCACAAGGATTACTAATAATCAATGACGAATAAGAAATAGGTTAAATAACGAAAACATAAATTAACTATGTGTATTACTACGTCAACAAAGATGATAGACGTAACAAGTAAAACTTTAAGGCGGTAGAATCATGTCAATGACAATGCTAATTAGCAAAACAAATTATTAATACGTTAATGAATATGATCAATGGAAACATAAATAAATGCTTCAAGCTAGGCAACAAATTAACGAGCATGATCATGACAATGTAAATGTAAAAACTAAAAGCGATAATGTGGTGTACCTCAATAGTGTCGGTGATTACCACGGTTTGTGACAAGACTGATGGAAGTCGACATACATTTTAAATTATAGAAATTTACCTTGATAAGAATTGATGTCATTTAAATCAAGCCCCCAATGTTGGATCACTCGGGAAGATTAAGTCAGGTTTAGCCCCCGACGTCATAATCTAGATTGGTGAATTATCTACAAGAGCATTCTCATATATACCAACTTGTTGTTAATTATTCATGAAATAATAACAAATAACATTATCCACCATATGTTTCGAAAAAGCATTAAACATTCATAATTACGTTAAGAATGAACCATAATCAAAGCATCGACAGTTAATCAAAGTTTAGTGATTAAAACGTCAAAAACTAAGGAAAAATAATCATAATAACCAAATCATGATGTATTGAAGCATCGGGGATCAAATAACAAAATTTAATCAAAGCATTAGATTGATAATCAGAGCATAGTGTCTTGCTCCCTTGTGGCAACTTCATGAAAAAAAGCAAACAATATGAAATGAAGTTAGCCACAAAATATAATGTTACCGTCGACTTGTTGTTGTCGATGACAATATTCCGATGTCACAATCAATTAACGTTATAAATCTCCACCTGTAACCTTACTTTATCTAAAAATACGCTTGGTACGACATAAATTAGTCATCATAAGATATAAAAATCTAAGCGCTACATAAGCTAATGTCATGAGTTATAGATAAAAGTCAATGTAATTATTTTTATAATAGAATAGTCTTTAGTAATAAATCTGAATTTTGCATTTAGGCAAAAGCTTACTTGCATCGTCGTTTACAACAACATTTGTCTTAATGTTGTCGTCACTTACTGATGATACTAGGCTGCTGACGACGTTACTGACTGGCGTCGTCGACACTGATTGATGTCGTCGAGTTATTTGTTGACGACATTAAATTGCTGATAATATTATTGGAGTCAACCTTGATGGTGACATCACTTGATTACTTATCTGTTTCAACGATACCATAGCCAAGAAAAAATGTTAGTCTATGAAGGCAAGCACTAAGATGTAATCGATTAGTGCTTAAGAGTCAAAATCAATTGACAAAGAGAAATAAACAAGCTAAGTAAGCGAACAACGATTGCATAGGTGCTTTTATATATTGATGAAAAGATAATACCTTTAAAGCATTGTGATATTGATGAAAACAAAATGTAAAGCATTAAAGTAATAATGAAACTTCAAAGTAACAATGGTCATGAAAATTAGGAACAAATGGTAATAATGCGTTAGTACAAATAAAAATTAAAAACCTTTATCTAAAATGACAAGGGTCATTATTATTATGCCAACAATATGACGTACTTCGGTGGTAACGATTAAGTTTTGTAGCAAGCTTGATAATAGTGACTTATACTTCAGATAATATAATAGAAAACTTACATTGGGAAAAATGTCAGCGTATAAATCTAAAAGTGTTGTGTTGCCTGCGGATTCGCCATTCGAGTCTTCCCACTATTATTATCCACGACCTTGGGTGTCGAGCCTCAACGTCATGCTTTAGGTTAACATCAAATCTATAATCTCTTTTTTAAACTTATTGTTAATTACGCAAAAAACCACACTAGCATATATCGACATAGACAAAGTAGCATTTTATATATGTAATTGCGTTAAAAATGAGTCAAGGCATTAATGATAAGTCAGAGTCTAGTGATCAAAGTATTGGAAACTAGAACATTAAAAATCAAAACATAATAATATGATCCTAATGATTAACAAGAGAACAATAGAAAAAAATATTTGAGGCATTAGATTAATATTAAAAGTATACTATTTTGTCCCCTTGTGGCACCTTCATGAAAAACACAAATATTAAGAAATGAAGTTAGCCGCAAAATTCAGTTTTACCATTAACTTGTTCTCGACGATGGCAACGTTCTGATGCTACAATTACGTGACATTTCGATCTTCACCTGTAAACTCAATTTACCCAATAACACACTTGATGTATAGGTTAGTCGTTATAATATAAGTATCTAAACATTACGTAAGTTACTGTCGGCATGATATTTAATTACCACTAGAGATAAAAGACAAGATAACCATAAAATATTGTAAAGTTAAATTGCCTAAAGATTAGGTAAAAGCATACTTATCTCCTTCAACCAGGAAATTAGTAATTGATGCTGGCGACACTGAGTTGTTGAAGTTGTCACTTAGTCGAATATCACCAACTCATGAATTTTGTGGACGATCGCTACCACGATGTGGGGATGACAGATAATTCTTAAATGGATATAGATATAGCTTGATGATGGGAATGTGTTTGAATGTGTTTGGAAAGGAACTTTTGTAGGGTTGATATTTCAATCTAGTTGTAGCCCTACGGTGGGCGCCAAATTGTTTATGCTAAATTTTGTCAAGTAGGATTTGATGTGGGATACGGGCTACGGATCAACTAAATTAAAATAAGGAATGTTGGATGCGGAAAATAAATGACGAAAAAATAAAGAAAGAGAGGGGAGACACAATATGGTGACGTGGAAAAACCCAATGAAGGTGGGTAAAAACCGCAGGTGGCAATGAGGCCACCAATCCACTATAATATGGGCATAAAGCCGATTATTACAATTACAAGATGTATTCGATGCATATAAAATACAGTGTAGATAAATACAAGTGAATGGAGAGCACGACATTCATTGCACAGTAGTACATATGGAAGAGGTATTAATTTGGTGGAGCATTGTGTGTAGGAGTTATCTTTGTAATGGTGTAAAGCAGACTAAAATATAGTAGAATTGTAGTAGCATTTGTGGTGGAATAAACTATAGTAGTTTTACTCCTAGTAGAATAAGGATATGGATGGCTACGGTAATGTTTGTAGAGGACTAGAGGGTAAGCTTGGCTTCTTATTTATGATTAAAATATAGTAGTTTGGTTAGAAACTCTTAGGGGAAGATTTAAGTGGGTGGAGCTTAGACATTGGATGGCAAGAATAGTATATAATGTATGTCGAGAGGGAGCTTATACGTGGGATCTGTCGATCTCTTCACAAGAGGAGGTTTTTCCCTATTTATAAAACTTCAAGCAGTAGCTAATAAACGGTTGGAGAAGGATGAGGATGCCCTCCATGAAAATAGGAGATAGTGGTTATTCACTCTTTACTTGGTCTTCCGGTGAATGTAGACGACTTGGAGTACACATACGTGTAACAACTTCAATGGACTTGTTCTTAGTGGTAAATATCCTCTCCATGACTTTAGATAGCATCCATAACAATCTTGACTCGGTCTTGTATATCTTGGTCTTGAATGTCAACGTCGGTCAATAGTTGTACAAAATGTCCCATAACAAGGTCTTAAGGCTTTCTTGGGTGATCTCTTTCACTTGTCGGCGGGTGATAATATTTCAATTTTGTAGCTAAATTTCATGATGTCTCTAGCCGAATTCATACTGTTCTAATGCTAACAGATGGAATTGGCTGAAATTTTTCACAGGAAGTCATAAGTGTATAAAGGAGAGTATAAAAAGCAAGTAGATAATTCATAAGTGTAGATAATTCTCAATTAGCATGTATTTTAAAAACTGAGTATTATGAAATGATGCCTCTTTTACTGGTGTACACCCTTGCATAATTTCTGCCATTTATTTCCTTACATTATAAATCACAATAATTAGAGATTCACAAAAATCACAATAATAATAATAAAATTTTTAATACTAGAGTTTATACTCTATAGCTTCATGCATTACATAGTTTAACTAGTTGAAAATTAAAACAAAACTTAATGTAATAACAGTTTTAAGCAGTATGATGCAAGGGATACTATTGATAGCTCATTACCAATGAATGTCAATGAGCTATACAAGATAGTATATGCAGATGTCAGTAAATAATAGCAAAACACTGATAACACATACCACAAACCATACAGTTAACCATGGCTGCCCAAAAATATCAAAGTAGAAAAAGATACTTCGTATAAAATATTACCTCTATTAAGCATCAAGGCCAATCTTCTCCATGACTAACCAAAACTTTTGTTCTAGGTCTTCTTGTTTCTTCTTAGACGCTTTCAATTCAGATCGCATCATATTATTTTCATTTTGTAGTTTTTCAACATTTTGTTCCAGCTCAGCTCTTCCTATCTTTCCGTCTTTAGACGACACCGGGTGCCCTTTGCCTAAACCTCGGGCATAACTTGAACAATGTCCAAGAACCTTCACATAAGCTTCTTCAAGAGTAAGATTATCAACCCCCTTTTCACCAATCTTTTTCTCATGCAACTCCCTTAATTCCTTGAACTTCTCCTCGGCCTCATCGTCAAACTTCCCATTTTTATGCCTTACAAGATAAAACAAAGTCAGAATTTATAAATAAAGAAAAACAAAGTGTTCGTGCATTAGACAAATATTCAGTATACCTCTTTGACTTCTCCCATAACTAAATACATGGGATCATCATTAGCTTGGGATGAGGTGGTTACATTTGAGCTAGAACCATTGATTTCAGTGACCTCATTCTCATTTTTCACAAGCTTGTGCCTCAAGTTCCTATCAAATCACATACATACACTTATTAATTTTAGCAAGATCAATCCATTTAGGAAACAATAATAATCAGAGCAACAGAACCAGAAATGTGAGCCAGAAGATCATCTGATGTAACCACAATGAAAATTCCACCAACAGACTGTGTTACTAATTGGTAACTGATTATTTGATATTGAAATTCAGATTAGGATGGTCAGAAACAGAAACAGAAACAGAACCAGAAGATCATCTAAATGATCAGATTAATTTTAACATTTATACTCACCAATTCATAAATTATGCGAGCTGTTGATTTCGCACCACATGCCGACTTGATCTTCTTTGCAAGAGCATTAGCCTGATTCTTCTCACTCCATTCCTAAAGGTTACAAAATAGCATATAGGATTAGTAAAGGGGAAGAAATGCAAATTGCAGAATTTTGATTACAAGAGCATTCCTATTACTTACCTTCTGCTTAAGAGAGCTCCAATAGTTATAAACAAGCCACTTCCATTGGTCAAGATTTATTGAAGGTGGGAAAGCACGCTCCGCCTCTAATAAATATTTTCTATTTGAAAAATATTCAGCCTTCAACCTTTCTCTCCAATGCCTATAAAGGGTGGAGCATTGAATCTTTATTGCTTTGCAAATGTGTGCACCTTCACCCAATTCATACTTTGACTACAAGAATATTTAAATTTAGTGATATGAACCTTTTAATAGCAAGTGTTTGTCTAATAATAGCAGAAAACAAGCATAAAGGAACAATCAGAAGTACTAAATCAGCAGACCCAAAAATTACAATACCATATGACATTTCAATTAAGCCTAAGAAATAATCACTTATGCACACCTTTATCCCCTTGTTTGATGATAAATATTGATCATAATTCATAGTTACATAAAGTTAATTAGTCCCATGCTAATCCCAAAAGTATTTAGCAACGGAATATTTTCCATGAAAACTAGAAAACAGAACAGAATCATGCAACTCAGTCAACATGCACCACTAAAAACATTTTAGAGAGTCATTAAGATTGAATTTGCAAGATTATATACCTTAATCCTTGCTTATAATCGATCTGAAATCCCTTCAGGCATATCACTCCATTTAGGAACATCAAGGGGGCAAATCTCCTTAAACCAATAAGCACACTCAGCAACAAATTGATTTGCACGCTCACCCACAACAGCTCCTAATGCTAAAGGAATATTAACCTTGAGCTTTCTAGGTTGAATGCTTCGCAACTTTTTATACTTGAGTGCTCTACTTGGACCACGAAAGGGACCTAATTGAAAATACATTACACAAATCAGCTAGGAAACAGAACTATAAATAGAAAACATAACAGAAAACAGAACACATTACCTTTTCTTTTCTTAGGTTGTTGAGAGGTCGACCCTACAAACTCATTACTATTATTATTAGAATCTAATTGCGATAATGATGATTGAGTCTCCAGATTCATTGACCCTACAGAATCATAAATATAAAACAAAATCATAAATAGGAAACAGAAAATAAATAGCAAAACAGAAAACAGAAACAGAAAACAAACAACAGAAACAGAAAACAAAATTAATATAACAAATCACTACTAGAAAATAGCCAAATAACGACGGAAAATTTCCGTCGGAAACACCGTATTTTCCGTCGAAAAACTCGTTTCCGACGAAATTCCGTCGGAACTAGTTGTCGGAAAACGTGTTATAGGAAAATGGGCTTTTTCCGACGGAATTTCCGTCGGAAACACTATTCCGACGGAATTCAGTCCGCCAGAAAATATTTTTAGGCCCGAGAAAGTCCATCGCAAGTTTCCGACGGACTGAGTTCTGTCGGTATGTTGTGACGAAAATTTTGTCGGAAACTTATTTTAAAAAAAACAAAAAAAAAAGCCCCCCACCACCCCACCACCAGCCAACATCACCAGCAACCACCCCGCACCACCAGACCCCACTGCACACCGACACCAACCACCACTACACTAGCCCCGATCCCACCTTCAAACATCAGCCCCGATTCCACCATTAAACACCACCGTCGACACCACCGACACCCACCCTAGCCCTTTCCCAGCTTTAAACACCACCACACAAAAAATAAACCCCAAAAAACACAAAACTTAGTACAAAAAAAAAACTGAAAATAACCCCAATAATCGAAAATCAACCCCAAAATTAAACCCCAAACACCACCACACCAAAAATAAACCCCAAAAAACACAAAACTTAGCAAAAAAAAACTGAAAATAACCCCAATAATCGAAAATCAACCCAAAAATACGAAAATTGAGACAAAAAAAATTGAAAAACACCACACAAATAAATCAAAACCAATAGATCTACATAGTTAGCAAGAATTTCATAAAGAAAATTAAGAAAAACGTTAATTAAACCACAAAAATTAAAGAAAATATATAATTATACAATCATCTAATAAAATTTATAAATTAACATTACAATTTCATAAAAAATTAACTAGATCTATGCGCATTACGTGGTCGCCGTTCTTGTTGTCGTCGCCGTTCTAGTTGTCTTTCTTGTTGTGGTCGCCGGTGTTGTTGTAGTCGTCTTCGTTGTTGTTGCTTGGTCTTTATGGTGTTGTTGTTGGTGGTGGTGGTAGGAGGTAAAAGAGGAGAGGAAAGGAGGAGGGATGAGAGAGAAAGAGAGGAAAGAGAAGACGAGAGAATCAGAGAAGTCAGAGAAGGGCGGACGGAGGGATGAGGAGAGAGAAAGAGAAGGAAAGGAGGAGGGTTAAGGAGAGAGAAAGAAGAGGAAAGAGAAGTGAGGGAAAAAAAAGGGGCGGAAAGAAGGTTTAGTTGTTTAGGGTTAGAGGTTAAATACTCCGAAATTTTTTTTTTCCTTTTTTTTTATAGTATATGTTACGACGGATTTTTCCGTCGGAAATTTCCGACGGAATATTGTTCCGTCGGAAATTACCTTCTCCGACGGAATATTCCGTCGGAATGTCCAATTAATCCGACGGATTTATTTTTCGTCGGAAATTTCCGACGGATTTCCGACGGAATTTTTTAATTCGTCGGAATTGTCCGACGGAAATTAAATCCGTCGGATATATCGATTTTTTCGACGGATTTTCAAGTCCGTCGGAACTGGTCCGTCGTTATTAGACCTGATTCTTGTAGTGAATTTTGACATATAAAACATACAGTGAGCTAAGTAGTAAACTTACCAGATGATGATTAAAACTCAATAGAAAACAAAAAATAAACAACAAAACAAAAAAACAAACAACAAAAACAGAAAACAGAAACAGAAACAGAAAACAAAAAAAAAATTATAGACAGAAATAGAAAACAAAAACAGAAATAAACTTATAAAACCAGTAGCTTATTTTACATAAGTTTGAGATTAAAAAAAAGACAAAAGATGGAATAGCAACAAGTTTATTGGCTGCCCGAGTCTAAATCATCATCATCATCATCATCATACTCTTCTTCTTCTTCTTCTTCTTCTTCTTCTTCTTCTTCTTCCAAAATCTGATTCTCCTTTGACTCAAAACCAATTAAGTTCACTAACATAGGAGGGACATCATTTCTTGGTAAAATCTCATCATCTACATCATTCACTATTGAGTTAGGTATTCCTAATTCAACATCATTATTCTCATCATCACAACCAATATCATCAACAATTGGAAAATTGTAGAAGTTACAAGGAATTGTCTTAATAACGATTCTCCAATTTGGCTCATTGTGTGCCCTCACGTAATAGACTTGTACAACTTGGGATGCCATCGCAAATGGCTCATTGGTTTGTAAAAACCTTTTGTTGTTGACACTAATAGTGCCAAACTTGTCCCTTTTTATCCCTCGCCCCTCCCTATAAATATCGAACCAAACACATCTAAACAACACCACGATTGGTTCCTTATCCCCAACATTTGGAACATCATACTCCAATTCTATGACTTCTTTTAAAACCCCAAAAAAGTCTCTTTCTCCACTCTCTTAATCTCCTTTAACAACTACTCCACTATTTTGTGTCTTTCGCCTTCTTTGATGTTTTTTAGTGTGGAAATGATGCCCATTTACATAGTATCCTTGATAGATTCTAACACTTTTACTCGGGCCTCGTGACAATGATAGTAACTAAGTTATTACTCTTGGATCTCCTTCCATATGAAGATTCCATATCTATGAAAATAAGTCATTATGGAGAGATCGAATTAGTATTAACACATACAAACCATAACCTTAATCTTAACCTTAACATAAAGACATAACACTTACTCGTGATTGAAACCAATCAACTACACTTGGTTTTGGCCCACCAATAGAGGCATACTCTCTGTTCATCATATACGTGTTAGTGGTATTTCACATAATGATAAATTAATGATTAAAAGAATAAAAAGATATAGATGCCTTACTCCACAAATGGTTGTACTTCTGGACAATTCATAAGAACATATAATTGAGCTTGCTCCCAATCTAAAATGCTCAATTGCTTGAATGTTCTTCTCCCTAATGCATTTCCCTTGTTTTGAAAAACAGATAATTTAAACAATGGAGAATGATAATTCTTATCCAAGTCATTTCTACTCATGCGATTGAATTTTGTCTCAACACCACTTAAATATACGGGCATTCATGGTGTACATTTCCCTACGAGAAATAACCTTATTAAATGATGCCACAAATTAAACAATCACATATTAATGTAAATGAGCAGTAAGATTACCTTTCAAATTGATATTGCCAACAATATTGCACTGGCCCAGCAAGCTTGGCCTCAGTAGCCAAGCGGATTGGGAGGTGAACCATAATATTAAAGAATGATGGAACAAACACCTTTTCAAGCTTACAAAGAGTTATTGCAATACTCTTTTCCAATCGCTCCAACACATCAATTTTTAGAGTTTTGGAGCACAATTGCTTAAAAAACAAGCTTAGCTCAACCAAAGGTTCTAACATTTGCTTAGGCAAAATGCCTTGAAATGCCGATGTAAGCAAATTTTGCATAAAAACATGACAATCATGGCTCTTCATGTTTGAGATTTTTCCATCTTCTACAATTGCACATCGAGCTATGTTAGAAGAGTAACCATCTGGCACTTTAACCTTGGACAACCACTCTGATACTCTACGCCTCTCAAGCAATGTCAATTGATAAGGAGCTCTAGGAATTGCATATTTGTCACATATCTTGATAGGTCTCAATTTCTCATGCATGTTCAACTTCAACAAATCCTTTCGTACGTTCAAAGTGTCCTTTGTCTTATTAGGAATATCAAGTACAGTTGCTAAGATTGTTAAGAAGCATTGGCAACATTTCCAAAGATTGGATTTTGGCAAATTTTCCGAGATACGGATTGTCGCTTCATCGTGGCAACATTTCCAAGGATGGATTGTTACGTGGCATTGACAACTTTCCCTAAATCGGGTTGTCATACATCATACAAGGGTTGTGTTGACAACTATTCTCAAATAAAAGAAGATTGTCGACATACTGGTTCACAAGCAGCAAAGCGCCGACGTACTGGCATAGCAGCATTAAGGATTAAAAAGCAGTGATCTTTTCGAAGACTATCACAGCGGAAATTGGATTCATATCAAAAGAAGCTCTTTGTTCAGAGACCCGTGAACATATCAAAAAGAAGCTCTTTGTTCAGAGACAAGTGAACATCGAAACAGCAAGGTGGCGTTCCTTAGATTGTGGAAAGTTGTCACAAACAACTGAGGATTGTTTCAAGAGAAGCAATCTTCGATAGTATTCCCTTGGACATGGAATATTATCATAGCGGAGGAGGATCGTTTCAGGCGAAGCAATTTTCCAATTTGGAAGCAGTTACAGGCGTAGCGGTTTTCAAGCGGGATGACATTCTCTAGCTTGCAGGAGGTCATCAAAACAATCGGTTACTTTTAGAGATGTGTGCTCGACGGTGCAAGATACGCATTTCTTAACTATTTTATCTGTTTGACTAACGCTAGTTTTGCAGGTATCGGCGTTACAAGAGTGGTTTAGGATCACAGAACGTTCTGAATCATTCTCCGTCCCCATCGATACTTTGACTTTCGTTTTCGAAACTTGCAAGCGTTTCTCCAAACTCAGTCAAAGTGGGGGCTTCTGCAAACACCTATTTGTGTCTCCCCAAAACCAAAACCGGTGATGAGTACCTTTCACGTCGAATTATAATCGAATGAAGCGAAAGTGTGGAAAGTTTAGTGTTGCGAATAGTTTTAATTTCTTTTCTCTTCTCTCTGTTTTTGAAAACTTATTTTAAGAAAATAGCCAATCCAGTTTGGTTGGTCCATGATATGGGTCCAATAATAGTGTAGTTGGATGGGGCTTGCCAAGAGCTTTCTAACAATATATTATAAGCCCAATTCCGATGAATATTGAGGAAGTTATGGCCAATTTACTAAACTGGGCCCGGTTTGAGCTTTATATGCGGCCCAATGATCTAGAGGAGGGCCTAATAAGATTTATCATTCCTAATGCAATTAGTCTTCTAGATTCATCGAGAAGGTTCTTTTCATTTCTAATTCAATTAACATTGATAAATTGACTTTTGTTGACTTTTCAGAGTTTTAATTAAAATCAAATAGCATTTTCGAGGAAAATATATGATTTTATCCTCTAGTACGGCGAACTTATCTTATTTTCGAAAACGCGTTAAAAACAGGCCTGGCGCCTGACTCCAGGCATTGGCGCCTGGTGCTAGCCATTGGCGCCTGGCGCCAATTAGCTGGTGCTGGCGCCAGCTCTGTTTTGTGTGTGCCAATCTCGTTTTACGTGCACCAAGTGCTCTGTTTTGTTATTTTATCTTTTTGGCTTATTTCTCTATAAATAACGTATTAAAAACTTCGTTTTCATTCACCAATTATCACGAATTCTCACCTACAATCAGCTTTCATTCGCAATCATTAATTCTCCAATTCTCTTCTATAATCATTCATCAATTCTTTCTCTTTTTCTAAACTTTGCTTTTACATACAAAATTCCGCACTCGCAAGATCTAGAAACACCTAGCCATATTCGAATTTGCCTTCGCCCTAGACGTGAAAGGTTTAATTTATGAGGGTTTGGTCCCAAATCTCTCTTTCAATTATTTAACTTGATTGTTGTTTATTATTTTCCTTGAAGTTACTAACGCGTGTATTTTGTTATTAGAAAGAGGTACAAGGCATCAAAGTAAGTACTTTATTGATTTTTTTAATATTATGATGTAGAAATCATGTTTACATTGTTCTTATGATATTCCTAGTATCATGTCTAGGGTAATTTTAATATTAAATATGATTCCTGCGATGCTTCCTATGTTCTTCCTAATATTTATGATTGATAGTATCATGTTAGGGTTAAAGACTTGATTTTTATTGCTTAGTGAAATGCTAGGGTTTGTTATTAATCTTGTTAGTATCATGCCTAGGATCTTGCTATTGTTATTATGCTTTAATATTAACATGAACATGATTATGATTATAATTGTTATAATTTATGATGATTATGAATATTATTATTATTATTTGATGGTTATTTTATCTATGATGATTATTATTATGATTATAATTATTGTCATGATATATATTGATTATTATTACGTTGCTTGATATTTATTTATTGCTTGATCACGCCTTTTACGCATGTTTAGAGGGAATTGGTATATGTAATCACGCTTAATAAGATAATTAATAATCTTGTTAGGGTTAATTTGATTATGATTCAAGTGATCGCCACACTAGGCGAAAATAGCATTTGGCCACCGGTTCAAAACCCCCCTATGCCACCGGTTTTGAACCGGTGGGCATTTGGGGGGTGGCAATAGTCAGATGCAAAGCCACCGGTTCAAAACCGGTGGCAAAAACCCACTCCCGCTTTTTTTTAAATGGGTTTTTGGCACCGGTTCCTGTTCAAAACCGGTGCCAATAATGGCCAAAAAAAATAATTTTTTTTTTTTTTTTTTGCATTTTTTCAATTAAATTGATATATAAACACTAACATATATATAAACTTACATATTTTCATTAAAAAAGGTTGTAATATTACAATTTTGGTCCAAAAAAAAAATAAAATTCAAGTCACTGTTAAATACAAGTCACACCAAATCACCAATGTAACACCTGGCGAGGTAGCAACTGCAGCAGCGAGCCTTGGCGAGGAAGCAGCAGCCTTGCATATAGATAACATCTTCAGACAGCCACCTGCATCAACAAACAAAGATAAGAGATCTCGAAGTGTGTATTAATCAAAGACAACAAGCAGAGCAATACTACCTTAAATTCAACCATATATACATGCAGTGAGGAATACCGAGAAGAAAAGCCTTGGCAAAATACATTTTCAGGCTCTTTATAATCAAGAGGAGGGGCAAAGTCCACCTCATAGTCTGTCTCGATTATACTGATTGCATGAGAGGGCTTTGTTTCAATAATGTCAACGTAATACTTCTTGTTGTTATATGCCACCATGATGCTGTCTCTAGAGGTCAAGCATGAATAATTTCTCAAAGTAGTCTCCAAACTGCACAAGGAGATAAGTGCAACACATGTACCAGACAATATCTATTACTAAAAAAAATATACCCATGTAACCAAGGCGAAGAACACACATCCTACTCAAAGGTGAAGCTTCAAACCAGTATTAGTGCATGATTTCATAAACTACAAAAGGGGGAAAAAAACAAGCAAATGACCTATATATTTGTGCCCTTTTCAGAATGCAACTTGTTCATACTCAAGCTAGTATTTTCCAATCGTTATTCAAATTCTTCGAATATGAATAGATACGATGAAGTAACATTGGCAAATAATCATTCAATTACAAACAGCCATTCATACCTCGCAAACAGAAAGAAAACTTTGGAACCTTTACACCAAGACTTTAAAGAACACAAACAAGAAAACTTTGGAAACTTTACATCAGCTTAAAAGAACAAATTCAAGAAAACTTTGGAACCTTTACATCAAGACTTACAAGAACACAATCAATAATTTTGGAACCTTGACATCGACATATAAGAACACAATCAAGATGGATCCCAGCAGCTCGATTTTATTTACAAAAGCACACTCAAGATAGATCCCACCAGCTCGGTTTAATATATAAGAACACACTCAAGATAGATCCTACTTGCTCGGTTTCATAAGCTTATTATACTCTAATGATTAGAACATATACTAATATATTTGCCCGTATTTAATACCAATAAATCACAGAGAAATGGAATAGTTCTACTAATTGAAGCACATACCAATTCAGCGATCATCATAGTCTCAACAGCAAAATCAAGAAACAATGACTGTGTAATGCCATCAAGGTAGTGGGGGTTGCAAAGGGTTGTCTAGTCGTTTTTGCAGCTATTCAAACTTTAAGTTCTGCCAAGTAATTTCAATTTCATTAATTAGCATCATCTTAGAACCTTTTACTAGCAAATCTTAGAACCATTTCATCAACAAAACCAAACAAAAATCACTCAAAAATCGCAGAAAAATTCAAAAAAAAAAAAAATCAAAATCACCAAAAATTGTGCTAAAGATGCCTTGATCTAATTGTAAAATAACAAGAGCATACAATTCTATTGTTTATCTCTTTTATAAGAGCTATTTATTCAAGCATGTGATCACAATCTGTAGACATAGTAGCTTTATTACTTTATTACAAAAAAAATGAGGAAACATTGACATAGTAGCTCACAAAGAAAATGCACGATCTTGAAAATAAATTGGTTGAAAGTTTTCAATCTAAGCTGCAAATGTCATAATCTATGGGCAGGATAATAACCCTAAACTTATTAGGAATATACATGGTTACACCTAAAACTATCAAGGTTTTTAAGGTCCAACCTCCCTTTACTTTTTCCTTGTTACTTTGAGCCGGCCCTATTTAGTGTAACTTGGTAAGTCTTGCACATACAAAACCACAAATGCAACTTCAATCCAACACCAAGTAAACATATAGATTAATAAGAGTAATATAAAACCATAGCTTTCAAATAACAATATTAGCAAGGTAATTCATCTTGTAAGTGATATTATTTATCTGCTACCTATTTGTTCTGTAGTTCAACAATTGGAACTATCATTTCTCCTGGACATGGGAATCTCACAGTAAGTACTCTTTCTTGTCTATCACATAACAACTATGGAAATACTATCAGACCAAAATTCACATAACATCACAAATTAAGGCTTGAAGTCAACTGTAATCATATTTTTTACACAATCAGACCAAAATTCAATCAAACAAAAATTAATTCATAGGTCTAAGCACCCACCAAGATCCAGCAGAAACCAAGCAAAATTTCCCACAATTCTGGGTTAAAATTGATTCAAGCTCAATAATCAATACATCATATCAAACAAGTAACAAATCTATCAGCTAAATGGCAAAAAAAAATCACAAAAAAACAACCAAAAATAGCTTGTAATAGTGTTAATTTCAGCTCAGAATAAAATCAGTGTAATTCGTAGTAAAAGGATTTTACAGTGCAGATGATTCCTTCGTCTTCTGCTTCTTCGCATCTCTGTCCAACACAGCGTTTTCTCTTCGTATTCAATTTCGCTGAGAAAATTTCACAAATTCAAATCAAAATCACCAAAAATTGCAGAAAAAATTAGGTCAGATTAAGCTATTACATAAATGGAGGAGAGAGAAACTACGAGGAAAAGCGTTCGACGCCGGATTCTTCGATGATTTTGAGGCGTTTGATAGGGAGTTTGTCGGGAGAGATTTCCGTGTCGCCTCCGTCCGCCATTGTTGAGCTTTCGCCTGTGTTTTATGATTTTAGGGGAGATTTTCGATTTTGCAACTGAGCCCTAACTATGGCAAGAGAGATAACGAGAAAGAAGAAGATATGAGATAGATGGCGGCGACGATGATGGTTGTTGAGAATGAGAGAGAAGTGGTGAGGGGAGATCGCAGGAGAGAGAAGAGAGAGGGAGAGCAAGAGAGAGAAGGGAGAGGAGGGGAGAGAGGAGAGTTTTAGGGCTAGGGTTTATGAAGGGCGGTTTTTTTAAAAAAAAGATAAAGCCACCGGTTTTGAACCGGTGGCATTGAATATTTTCCCCACCGGTTCGGTTTGAACCGGTGGCAATACCCCTCCCTCATAATCCCGCCTATTTTTCTCCATTTTTTTCCCACCGGTTTTTAAAAACCTGTGGCCATTGCTCGGTGCCAATTTCTATTTTTCTACTAGTGCCAATAATAGTTTATTTGTGCATTTAATTCAACCAACATAGATTAAACAGGTTTAGGGTTAATCCTATTGATTGCATGTTAATTAGAAAGCGCACATGAATACGATCAGAATAAAGTAGAGGCATATTATTAGAGCAGGTTCAATCTCTTTTAGGTTGGATTTGTACCTTCATCCCCGAACCCTTATTTGGTTCTAGACCTTATGGAGTTGACGATCTCTTGGATCGTTAAGGGGTGTAACCTTCACCCTGTGAACGGTTTACAAGTTCCTAAAACTTGTTGGCGACTCTTTTGCTCTATCTTCTTCCCTTTTGGACGCCACCGTACTTTAGTGTATGATCACTGTGGGGTTCAAGCTAGGGGTTTAACGCTTGAAATTATTCCCCACAGTTTTTGGCGACTCCACTGGGGAGGATTTCTATTTTAATTCCTGAAATTGTTTCGGCAATGATTTAGAATGAGTGGATGAGACTCGAAAAGTTCTAAGTATTTCATGTGCGTAATTTTGATTAACATTATTGTCATATGCATAAAAAAAGATCTCATTGGAAAGACCATCCGTAATGAGTTAAAAACATAGGATTTTACACGTAGGAAATTTGAGAAATATCTTTCACAACTAGGACTGAAATAACACCGCGCGAAACTGGAAAATTTTATCGAGCACAGAAAGCTGCTGAGGCATGTGGGAAGTAGCGTCAGGGGCCAGAGCTTGGTGCCAGCATTTTAATCGTAGCGCCAGACGCCAATATTGGCGCCAGGCGCTACAGTTAAAAGCTGGCGCCAGTCTCTGATTGCTGGCGCCAATTTCCCCCAATACCGAGCCAGAAATATGCGTTTGAATTTCGACCGGTTTTTCGTATTGTTTGCTCGATCCTACTTCCTGATTGAATTTTTTCTCACTTTTCTGAAACCCATATGTGTTCTACATATGGACGTAACCCTCTGGGAATTCGTGCTCCATCTACCCGATTGAACGCTCCGTGCAACAAAGGGTACATCCGAGATGCTGAATTCACCAAACCATGGAAGCGAGTTTTTTTCTAAAACTCGCGGTATCCCATCCACTCGCGCCAACCCTTCACGGTTAGGCTTCCGCGAGGTGCATCCGGATAATTAACCATGGACCCTCTATTGACTAACCCATTTCCCGAACTTTAGAGAACTAGAGCCATGGTTAGGTTGCAAACGCATTGCATCATATTGTGCCTACTTGACTAATTGTGCAATATTTGTCGTGCATATATATTATGATTTCCCTTAACCGTTTGTTGACTTGTGTTGAGAGTCAATAAATTAATGAATTAAAGAACTTTGCCTAATTAATTAATTAATTAATTAATTTGAGCTAATAAATAAACATAAAATCGAGTCATAGTTCTTTTTAGCAACCCGGATTTTTATTCCCGTATACTGCACAAGCGTCAACTTGTTTTGGTCATAGCCAGAGTTCTAGGAAGAACTGCGAGTCGTAAACCTATGGATCTGTAGCCCCGAGTTTTATTTATAATTTGGCGTTGGTTTCATCCAAATCAGAGTCACAGATAAAACGTTATGACTAAAATATCACAGTATGTCCAGTTTAATGCATATACGTGAAGTCTTAACTTAGTCTTTGCTTGAGTCTAGTCACATAATCTAGCCACATGGTCATGACAAGAGTCTTAACATGTCACCTACACTCACTAGTCTTAGCACACACTTTGAGTACACATGTCACCATGTCCATGTCTTAGGTTCATGCATGAGTCGGTATTTTCCGTCGTTTAAGTTGGGGGTACATTTTATTCCTAATTCTTCATATCCCTCCATCAACATCACTTCTTCTTCACATTCTATTCCATTTTTCTTCACTTCTTCCATCCATGTGTGTTGAATCGAGTTTGAGTCATGTGATTGACAAACAAAAAATGAGGGTAATGATGAAACAACGCAAGACAAGAGGAGAGCTTCAACGACAAGATTTCGTGACTTTTTTTTTCTATTTCTTTTTTATTTACTCTTTCCCCAATAAGTCTAGCATATGCACCTTTTGCTTTCCCTTAGATTAATTTTGTACATTCTTTCTTTTCCCTGTTCTTTTAATAAAAATGAGCATTTATTTCCTTGCATATGATCATTGCATTGCATTTCATTTTAAAAAAAAAAATCCATGTCGAACTAAGCACAAGGTATACCAATGATTTGAGGCACCCCTTGTAGCCACATCATATCTCATTTCACCCTTCAATTTACAATCCTTTCTTCATAAACCACTTTGAGCCTCGTCTAACGATAGACTGTTCTTTTTTCAACCTACATCTACCTAACCTTGGGATGGGACAGTGTGCAACTCTAAAGAAAGCTTGAGCAAATTCAAAGAAAAGCAATAGCAAAAAAATAAGCAATATATAATAAAAGTGTGCAAAAGGGCAAGTGTTCCAATGTCTTTGATATGAAAATGTCTTCGATATGAACACGTCTCAAATTGCGTCTCTTATCGAGTGCTCGGTACCGTGCCTGAGAAACATGAATGCCAAGTGAGTGATAGACCGCATGATCAGGATTGCCCACACTTATTAAAATAAAATAAATGTTAAAGCAAAGAGAGCTAAAAAAGAGTAGAAACTCAAGTAAAAATATAAAGATTCAAAAGCGAGGTTGCATACCTTGGGGGCTTATCTAGGGTCTTGAGCCTTTATCCTTTTCTTCTATAACCTTTAGCCTAACCACGTCACAACCCTTAAAAAGACCTTTTTGAGGTATACACACTTGTGCGAGGTTCGGCTAGAGCTACGTTCGGCCTGATTCCTAACGGATACATAGGCAACCTCACATCGAGGTGCGGCCGTAATAAACATGCATTCATATTCACATTCACACACTTACACCATGATCATATCAAGGGACCTCCTATGCTCATCCCTATTCATTTAGAGCTAGACTTGGGGCTTGATCCTTATATCATTAGCTTACCTAGCCTAAGAGTCACCACCATTAGATTCTTCTCAATATCTCTCCACACACTTAGCTCTTGCGGCCTAGCTTTAGTGTCACTTTCACACACATAACAGATACATGACCAAATATACTTTCCCTTAGGAACCCTTTGTCATGAAATCTTAACATAATGCTGAAGCATGCCTTGTCATATCAACATCACTTATCAATCATCATTGCATCACAAAGTACGAAGTGCTTAGCCTCCGTGCCTAAGTTACCCAAATACTTTCATCGTGGAGTCAACAATTGAGAAAGCCTAGGATGAATTAATCCTTGCACAACATTTGACTAAGCTCGTTCAACATGCACCTTCAAACACTTCGATTCTTTTTCGCGTCTTTCTTTTTCGGGAGAAAGTCGGTACCCTCCACACAAATGACGGAAAATTTTTGCTTTTTTGCATTTTCGAGTCGCACGATCACAATACAATGCACACACAAATCATGTCGCGTTATCACATTGAGTCAACACTGTGCACACACGGGTCATGAGTCACACGTGTCATTTCAGTCGAGTTTACCTCGAGTCAGTCAATCACATCGAGTCAAGTTTATGCCTTGAGTCGTGTCAAGCAATGCTAAACCTTAGGTCAACCCTAAGATAATTAAAGAAATTGGCAAAGTTCTATAGTAAAAAATAAATACAGGTGCAGCAGAATAGGGAAGACCCTATCATAGCGTTCGGCGACAGAGTCAATTCTTGGCGCCAGAGATATTTCAGCAGCGATAGAGCTCGAAGCCTCTCAGAAAGGTGATTTTGATTTCGGGTTCCTTGGTACGCTAGTTAGCCCCTATAACAATTTGACATGATTAGTAGTCAGTTTGATTACAATCACAATAAGTGGTCGACCTGATGAAAGATCGTCTCACTTAGCTTAAGCGCCTAAAACACTGGCTCATTACAATCGGTTTAAATGCAAGCACTAAAACGACAATATTTCCAAAAATTGGATTGTCATCCCCAACTGACAATATTTCCAAAAATGGATTGTCGTGCATCTTCTTCAACGACAATTTTTCCGAGATCGGATTGTCATCTCTGGCAAAGTTTCCAAGCGTGGATTGTCGTGCTCCTTCTTTGTTTGGTAAGTTTTTCCAAGTTCGGATTGTCATACATTCATCGGCTCGTTGGCAAGTTTTCCGAGATTGGATTGTCATACACCCAGTTCCCTATGGAAAAATTTCCCAAAGAATTGTTGTAGGACTCTATTCATCATAAATTTTGGCAAAAGTTCCTCAACGTGGATTGTCATTCATTTTAATAAGTGGCAAATTTTCCCAAAGTGGATTGTCGGTCGACTCTGTTTTGCAAATGTTCTAAGACGCGGGTTGTCAATAGTGGTAATATTTTCCCAAAAGGATTGTCGCATAGCGTTGGCAAATTTCCAAGGCGGATTGCTTTCAAGAGTTATATTCCAAGACATGGATTGTCGATCGTAGCAAAGTTCTTATGAAAGATTGTTACGAAGCATTGGAAAGTTTTCCAAAGATTGGATTTTGGCAAATTTTCCGAGATACGGATTGTCGCTTCATCGTGGCAACATTTCCAAGGATGGATTGTTACGTGGCATTGAAAACTTTCCCTGAATCGGGTTGTCATACATCATACAAGGGTTGTGTTGGCAAATATTCCCAAATAAAAGAGGATTGTCGACATACTGGTTCACAAGCAGCAAAGCGCCGACGTACTGGCATAGCAGCATTAAGGATTAAAAAGCAGTGATCTTTTCGAAGACTATCACAACGGAAATTGGAGTCATATAAAAAGAAGCTTTTTGTTCAGAGACGCGTGAACATATCAAAAAGAAGCTCTTTGTTCAGAGGCGAGTGAACATCGAAACAGCAAGGTGGCGTTCCCTAGATTGTGGAAAGTTGTCACAAACAACTGAGGATTGTTTCAAGAGAAGCAATCTTCGATAGTATTCCCTTGGACATGGAATATTATCATAGCGGAGGAGGATCGTTTCAGGCGAAGCAATTTTCCAATTTGGAAGCAGTTACAGGCGTAGCGGTTTTCAAGCGGGATGACATTCTCTAGCTTGCAGGAGGTCATCAAAACAATCGGTTACTTTCAGAGATGTGTGCTCGACGGTGCAAGATACACGTTTCTTAACTCTTTTATCTGTTTGACTAACGCTAGTTTTGCAGGTATCGGCGTAACAAGAGTGGTTTAGGATCGCAGAACGTTCTACATCATTCTCCGTCCCCATTGATACTTTGACTTTCGTTTTCGAAACTTGCATGCGTTTCTCCAAACTCAGTCAAAGTGGGGGCTTCTGTAGACACCCATTTGTGTCTCCCCAAAACCAAACCCGGTGATGAGTACGTTTCACGTCGAATCATAATCGAATGAAGCGAAAGTGTGGAAAGTCTAGTGTTGCGGATAGTTTTAATTTCTTTTCTCTTCTCTCTGTTTTTGAAAACTTATTTTAAGAAAATAGCTAATCCAGTTTAGTTGGTCCATGATATGGGTCCAATAATAGTGTAGTTGGATGGGGCTTGCCAAGAGCTTTCCAACAATATATTATAAGCCCAATTCCGATGAATATTGAGGAAGTTATGGCCAATTTACTAAAGTGGGCCTGGTTTGAGCTTTATATGCGGCCCAATGATCTAGAGGAGGGCCTAATATGATTTATCATTCCTAATGCAATTAGGAATGGTTTTAGTCTTCTAGATTCTTCTAGAAGGTTCTTTTCATTCCTAATTCAATTAGCATTGATAAATTGACTTTTGTTGACTTTTCATAGTTTTAATTAAAATCAAATAGCATTTTCGAGGAAAATATATGATTTTATCCTCCAGTACGACAAACTTATTTGATTTTTGAAAACGCGTTAAAAACAGGCCTGGCGCCTGACTCCAAGCATTGGCGCCTGGAACCAGGCTTAGCGCTTGGCGCCAGCCATTGGCGCCTGGTGCTAGCCATTGGCGCCTGGCGCCAATTAGCTAGTGCTGGTGCCAACTCTGTTTTGCGTGCGCCAATCTCGTTTTACGTGCGCCAAGTGCTCTGTTTTGTTATTTTATCTTTTTGGCTTATTTCTCCATAAATAACGTATTAAAAACTCCGTTTTCATTCACCAATTCTCACGAATTCTCACCTACAATCAGCTTTCATTCGCAATCATTAATTCTCTAATTCTCTTCTATAATCATTCATCAATTCTTTCTCTTTTTCTAAACTTTGCTTTTACATACAAAATTCCGCACTCGCAAGATCTAGAAACACCTAGCCATATTCGAAGTTGCCTTCGCCCTAGACGTGAAAGGTTTAATTTCTGAAGGTTTGGTCCCAAATCTCTCTTTCAATTATTTAATTTGATTATTGTTTATTATTTTCCTTGAAGTTACTAACGCGGGTATTTTGTTATTAGAAAGAGGTACAAGGCATCAAAGTAAGTACTTTATTTATTTATTAATATTATGATGTAGAAATCATGTTTACATTGTTCTTATGATATTCCTAGTATCATGTCTAGGGTAATTTTAATATTAAATATGATTCTTGCGATGCTTCCTATGTTCTTCCTAATATTTATGATTGTTAGTATCATGTTAGGGTTAAAGACTTGATTTTTATTGCTTAGTGACATGCTAGGGTTTGTTATTAATCTTGTTAGTATCATGCCTAGGATCTTGATATTGTTATTATGCTTTAATATTAACATGAACATGATTATGATTATAATTGTTATAATTTATGATGATTATGAATATTATTATTATTATTATTATTTGATGATTATTTTATCTATGATGATATTGTTATGATTATAATTATTGTCATGATATATATTGATTATTATTACGTTGCTTGATATTTATTTATTGCTTGATCACGCCTTTTACGTATGTTTAGGGCAGGTTCAATCTCTTTTAGGTTGGATTTGTACCTTCATCCCCGAACCCTTATTTGGTTCTAGACCTTATGGAGTTGACGATATCTTGGATCGTTAAGGGGTGTAACCTTCACCCTGTGAACGGTTTACAAGTTCCTAAAACTTGTTGGCGACTCTTTTGCTCTATCTTCTTCCCTTTTGGACGCCACCGTACTTTAGTGTATGATCACAGTGGGGTTCAAGCTAGGGGTTTAACGCTTGAAATTATTCCCCACAGTATCACATCTAAGTTATGCCTTACCAAAAGCTTACTCCAATAAGGGAGTCTAAAGAAGGTACTAAACTTCTTCCATTGGTCAAATAAGTATCTTTGAGTTCTCTTTCTCTTCTTCCCAAATATCACATTCGGAACACCATCAAATGCTTCTAATATTTCATCCCCCAACAAAGGGATAGGAGGTGGTCGTCTTTTTGTTTCTCCATTAAAAGATTTTCTATCCATTCTCCATCTATGATCAGGATCCAAGAATCTTCTAGTACCATCAAAGAATTCTTTCCTTCCAAGCTTCAATCTCTCGTGTGAGGTATCTTTGTGACATGATGGACAATCAAGTTTACCACAAGTACTCCAACCACAAAAATTTCCATAAGCGGGAAAATCACTCATTGTCCACAATAGGGCTACCTTCATTTTAAAGTTTTGGCTACTATGTGAATCATAAGTTTTCACCCCAACTTCCCATAATTCTTAAAGTTCATCAATCAATGGTTCTAATAACACATCAATATCCATTCCAGGAGACTTGGGACCGGGAATTAGGAGTGCCAACGTGATGTATGGACTTGTCATGCACATCCATGGTGGAAGATTGTAGGGCACCAAAAACACTGGCCAAATGCTATAATTAGCGCCAAAATGTCCACCGGGATTGAAACCATCAGTCGAAAGACCTAATATCACATTACGTGGATCGATTGCAAACTCCGGAAATGATTCATCAAGCTTCTTCTATGCCATTGAATCGGATAGGTGCCTTAATATGTTGTCATCAAGTTGCTGCCTCTCTTTATGCCATCGCATGTGCTTTGTAATTTTTCGATGACATGAAAAGCCTTTGAAGCCTTGGCACTAAAGGAAAATGGTGAAGAACCATACGAGTACCTTAGGCATTCTTTGTGAGGCCCCTTGAGATTCCGAGAAGGTAACACTATCATCAAATTCACCGCTACCTTCCTTCCATCTTGACTCCTCACAAATAGGGCATGAATCAGCATTTTTATACTCTTTTCTATAAAGTATGTAATGATTGACACAAGCATGAATCTTCACATAATTCAACCCAAGATCTTTTGTGTACTTTTTGCTTCATAAGAGCTTTTTGGAAAGTTTGGGTCATAATTAAAGGCCTTTTGTAATGCACTAAGGAGCCCACTAAATGATTTCTCACTCCAACCCTCACTAACCTTAAGGTGTAAGAGAGTTACAATGAATTCAAGCCTTGAAAATGTTTTACAACCCAAAAATAGCTCTTCTTCTGCATCTTTCATCAATTTATAAAATTTATCGGGAATCTCAGAACAATCTCCACCCCCTTCATCCCCATCGTGCTCCTCCGGCACTACATTTGTCGCATCATGTACCAAAGAATCCATTTCTTCTGATACAAGAGGATCTTCATCATATAACTCATCACCTTCCTCCTCGGACATCTCCATCCCACCGATGTCAAGGGATTGTTCATCTCCATGGAATACCCATGGATTGTAATCAGGGTCTATTCCCACTCGAAGGAGATGAACACGTATTGTCACTCGGTCATGGTCAAAGTAATTTAGACAATCCAAACAAGGACACCTCTTCTTATCCCCAGAATTAGGGTTAGTGTCCTTGAAAGCAAATTCAAGAAAGTATTTAACACCATTTCGGTAACTTGGTTGAAGCCTACCATTCAACCCTTGAACATGCATCCAACTTCTATCATTATCCATTCTATATTACATAAAACAATATATAAGTATACCACACTGTTATAAAAAAAAGGTGGATACATGCATCTTTTTAATCATCCATGTTTAAAAAACATCACACTTTCTATCAAACTTAAATTCATTAGTGAGTACTACATTTTCATTTTTCATTTTTTTATTGAGAATCCAATACTAATAATAATACTAATTGCATTGCTTTGGAGTTTTAAAAGAAGGCCCATTATATTTTATATATTATGAATATATAATAAGTTGATAAAACAAATTTATGAAAACAAGTCATTATGGAGAGATCAAATTAGTATTAACATATACAAACCATAACCTTAATCTTAACCTTAACATAATAAGTTGATACAAGGGATGGGTGGAATTAATTCAATATGACAATGATACTGGCTAACATATGGGGAGGACTTGCATGAAAGGATCCAATTTCAATATGACAATGATACTGGCTAACATATAATTAATTCAAATTACCCTACATGAGAATAAAGTTAAAAATCATGAGGCTACGGAGCCATTACAGCTCAATACACATGGTTTTTATGCTAGACAAAAAACCTGCTCACCACAAGAAGTAACATACACTTGTCATGAACTAAAATACTGCTTTCACAGGTATTATTCTGTTTAAGAGAATATATTTGTAACTACCCTATGAGTATTAGGTTTGCTCTAGGACTCTTGTAATACGAGGTAATACACAACTCAAAACCAGCGTAGTACTGTATACATTCTAACATGGTGTCACAACCTGGACTAAAACCTTAAAATTCCCCTCATTCTCTTCCCTCTCCCATTCACCACCCTCTCCCACCTCTTCTGCTATCACAAATTCATTGACTTATCATATACTGTATTATAAGCCCTGCCATTTGTTCATATACAAATTCATCTTACTGTATTGTAAGTTAAAGTCCAATTTAATATGAAGTATCAGATTAATTAGGAAAACAGAAATTACTAAGAATGATTGTATTTCAATTATACAAAGGACTAAATTAGGAGTAGAAATCCCAAAAATTACAGCAATTATGATCAAGATATAACAAAAAATTTTGGTTTTAACACAATTTCAAAGTATATTCCGACCAAAATTTTACAAAAATCGGAAGAGCATAGAATAATCCAAATTAAATATCATAAGATAATCCAAATTAAATATCCTTTTATCACAATTATCACAATGCATGGTAATCAATAGCTCATACAATTAAGAAATTAAGCAATTAATTCGATAAACAGTTTGAATAATCTCAAATGTAACATGCAATACCTGAAACTTTCAATTCGAGCAGATTCGATCCAAATTCGAGCAAGTGATTCTAGCAGAAGAGTCGAGCAAATGATTCGAGCGATTCGAACAGAAGATTCGAGCGATTCGAACAAAAGATTCGAGCAAATGATTGAGCAGAATAAGATTCGAGCAAGAGATTAAGGTTAAGATTTGAGCAAATGATTCGAGCAGAAGAAAATTGAAGCAATCAGTTTGGGGGTTTAAGGTTCATCATTTTTGAGAGGAGAGAGAATGAACCTTTTTCTGTTTTGAAAAATAATGAGGCGTATTATTTTATGTAACTTTTGTCTTTAGGCGTATTATTTTATTACTAGTAGTACTTTCAATTTGAAAACTAAAATTTCGCCCTCTTTGCTCTAAAATTAGAGGGCAAAACTACAATTTCGCCCTCTTTGTTCTAAAATAGAGGACGAAAATGGAATTCGCTCTTTTTTCTTTGATATACAGGACGAAAACTAAATTCGCCCTCCTTGCTTTGAAATAGAAAGACGAAAACTAAATTCGCCCTCTGATATACATGACGAAAACTAAATTCGCCCTCCTTGCTTTGAAATAGAAAGACGAAAGTAAATTTCGCCCTCTTTGCTCTGCAATAAAAGGGCAATTATAATTTTGCCCTCCTTGATAGCAACTACCAAGGCAAACTATAACTTACCCTTCTTGACCGATTAAAGTCGCCCTTTTTTTTTATCTTTTTTCTTGTAGTGCTAGGGTTTCGTTTTGTTCCGCCGCGAGAGGGATTGAGGCCATTTTGATGAAGGAAGAAAAAGAGGAGCTCGACACGGGTTAGATTGGTGGTAGTTGTGACTTGTGACGGGTTTCAAGGGTTAAATTGTTACAAATCTTTGGTCTTACCTTGTTTGGTAGCAAAAGAGTAACAATGTGAGTTAAGTATTGGCGCATAATACAGCTGCTATTTATATGACATGTAAATAACATCTATAAGATAAAAGAGTGATTAATTTTTGTTCTTTCTAGTTGTACAAATATTGTACCACTATTATTATAATGGCTATAAATAGTACTACTAATACAACCTATACTCTAGTAGTATAAATTACATATATAATAGTATATTGAAAATACCACTATAAGTATAATGGTACATTAAAAGTACTACTGAAACGATAAAAAATCAAAAAAATTATGTGAATTTACCAGTTTGCCTGACAATTTTATTTGTGTGTCCTCTATATGCATTTCAAATAAATAGTTGCTATGCGCCCTATTTGCACTCAACAAAACAATGTGGCCTCTTTCGGCAAGTTTGTTAGGGGCTAGCCCCAGTTTCTCTTATTGATTAACAACTTTGTTTCTCAAAATGGCACTTTAGTAAATAAAATCAATTATTTTAATATTATTTTGCTTTACTTTTAGTTCTCTGTATTCCACTTCCCCACTTCATCTGGGTTGTCTGCCTCGTGAATCACGCTGCTTTTCTCCGTCCTTCATTGAAGCAGATCGAGAACCAGCGCCTCACCTCCATTGAAGCAGATGCAAACCAGCGGTTCACCTCCATTGAAGCAGATCGCAAATTACCGTTTTACCTCCATTGAAGCGTTTCCGGCGGCTTCGCCGCCAAATTAAAACGAAAACCCTAAGAAAATATAGAAAAATAAGGGCATGGTTAACCCTAAAAGGGTAGGTTTATCGTCCTCCTCCATCAAAGATATTCGCGAGCTTCGATTACACCATTGAAGCTGCTTCATTCTCCATTAAAATTGGTTGATACCTCCATCAAAGCTCTAGTCTTCTGCTAGAATTCTTTATTTTCTTAGGCAAATTACAATATTAGCCCTAACTTATTGTCTAAAATTACGAATATACCCCCTTGAGATACATCTCTTGTTAATCAATAAGAGAAAATTGTATTTACCTTATATGACCCATGGGCTGGCTAAACATCAACACCTTCAACTGCTTTCCCCAAAATTTTTTTTCTTTTAATTTTAATTGGATGGTTTATTTGTGTTGTGGCATGGCTTTTAAGGGCAACTCCATCATACCGACATTTTTGGTTTTTGAAAAAATTACTCCGTCAGTATACTAGTATAGTGTTTTATGACTTTAATCAACCTTTCATTATCATTTGAGTGATAATAGGGTCCTCCATAATTATCATGCACTAAAAATGTGTTTAATCTAGAAGCTTGGGGTGATGGATGAGCTTTTCTCTCCATAATTACTCCGTTAGTATACCAGTATAGTGTTTTATGATTTTTGCAGGGAATATGAGAAGTATGGGAAAATCCATGTTGATCTTCATGATTAACAAATTTTGTCAATCTAGGGGCATTTACGGTATTTCGATCATTTACTGTGAGGATGTAATGGTAACTTTCTTGTGATGAACTAGCAATCTACAATGACTAAGCTTCCACTTTAGTTTACCAATTTCCTCGTAGGATCTAACGCCATATGACGACCATTAGCTAGGTAGCGTTGATTGCTCTTCACTCTTCTTCTGACATAGGTCAAAACACCTAGCTCTCTCTCCTAGTATTTTCTCTCTCCTTTGTATTATGTATTAGCTAGACATTTGACATGTAACACTTGTTGAAGACAACAAAGGGATAATCACCATGGATCAAGTCATTATGATTTGTTCTGGGTTAAATTATTTTGACATTGTTTTAACAACCGTGTTTGACATTCTTAACTCATGTTTTAAATTATTCTGGGTTAATTTGTTTGACATGTTTGTTAGCAATAACTGTATAAATTATGTCTTTTGATACTTCAATTTATACATTTCGTTCTAAGCAAATTTTTGAGGTGAACAGTTGCATAGAGCATCCACCACCTCAGATACATTCATCAAGAATAGTTGCTTAGAAAATACACACTTTAGCCAACGTTTTTAAATTAGCTTAAAAACGATTACGAAATACATACTTTGGCAGTTGATTATTTATTTTTACATATTAGTATAGACACCCAAATGTGTCTCCCCAAAATCAAACCCAGCAATGAATACCTTTTACGTCATTTGATTATCGAACGAGCTAAAAGTGTGGAAAGTCTAATGAGGAGGATGTTTCTCTTTCTATTTTCTAAAAATATTTCTTTTTTTACTCCTATTTATGAAAAATAGCAAGTCCAATTTAATTTGGTCTATAATAAAGGTCCAATAATAGTGTAATTGGGTTGAGCACGAAAAGAGTTTTCCAATGATATATTATAGGCCCAATTTCGATGACTTGTGAGGAAGTTATGGATTAAATTAAATTAGGCCCAATGATTTTCAAAGGTAGCCCGATGATCTGGAGGAGGGCCTATTAATCATTATTTTAAAATAATTTTTTATTTAGATTAAATATATTAAATCTGATTTCAAAAACTGCTCGGACGCTTAATTACCTGCAACCGGTGTTAAAGGTAATTACGCGTGGAAAAGTGCGTTGACTTTTGGATCAGCGCGAGACGACGGAGTCGTCGGCAGGCGCTGACCTTCGTCGCCTGGCGTTGGCCTTCGTCGCCTGGCGACGAGCTCGTAATATTTGTAGGAGTTTGACTTGACCTAGTTATCAATAGAGAAATTTAATTGTTACTTTGTAATATCTTTTATTTTGTATTGCACATTATAAATTATACAACGCTGATATTATGAAAATATATCTTACAACCAATTAACAACATATTACAATATTGATTGCATAATAGAATTTGTTTGTATTAGTTGGAAATAGAATTCAAAGCCATCAAATAAATAGTAGAAAAAGTGAAATGGTTGCTAATAAAAAATGAAGTGTTTCATATACTTATACAAGCTAAGTGATTGCTCGGACTTTTATTATTAGAGCAAATTGATACACTATTGAAGTATGTTTAGTCTTTTCAATTAACACAAGTAAATAAGTAACTATCTCATATTGATATAAGATGAAAGAGTTAAATGGTACGTAGTATAAGGTTAAGGGATTAATAGACTACTTCTTTTGTCGTCATATGATTTTTGAGATATTAGGGCAGCCAACACGCACGATGCGCGCGGAGTGACTTGCCCTTTCTTGATGTATATATTGAGTTGTGTTTAAACTCTTTACGACATTGGTTTTTTAGGGAAAATAGTTTGATAAATTAATGGAATGTGTATATTGGGTTGTGTTTAAAGTTTTCATTTTTTCCTGCACAACTTTTCCTCATGAAACATCTATGCAATCATTCAATAGTGCAATATCGCAACAACATCCACAAACTTAATTAGGAATAGATTAAATATTATTCAAAAATCATTAGAGCACATATTATATACAAACAGAAGTAATTTAGCATTATAGCATATGCATATAATAATGGAAAAGTTTTCCGGAGCATTTACTATTTGGAAGTGTATACTCTCACCCAACCTAGTAATTACTCTACATATATATATATATATAAATATATATATATATATATATTTATATTTATATATATATGGGATTAATTATATGAAACTAAAAAATAGAAACAGTTACACCTAACTCGCATAAACATTAACATTCAGGCACAGAGAAAATATCAGCTTGCATTGATTGACAACTTTCTTCCAAAAACGTGGATTTGGTTATGCAAAAAAAAAAAAAAAAAAAAAAGGAAAAAGAAAAAAGAAGCTTTATGCAGCCCCAATTGTAGCATTTAAACCCTTGATAGTTCCCTTCACTTCCTTCTTGCTTTTTTTCCCTGTTTCATCGTAGTCAGTTTGGTTTTCTTTCTTTCTAATACATCTATTTCGCTATAATCATCATATTCATTTCATTGGTCTCAATGTCTGATCATTTAAACACAATTATCTGTAAGTTGTTATTTTTGACCTTCATAAAGAAACAACATTTTGCTTGTGTAGTAGATAAAATTATCATGCAATTAAACTATAACCCCCATTAAATATCAAACATTTTAAATTTATTATTTCATTTTCCATTTAATTTAATTAGTTGAGTAGAAAGATCTTTCAAATTTCGTATATCTAATGATTCATCTTATTAATTTTGATGAGGTGAATTTTAAATTTACCTATAATATAAAATTGTTTTTCACCACTAGCTGTCAAAAGAACTAATACCTCCGTTACACATTATTTGCAACGATTAGACATTTTTCCTCTCTACTTTATGTCAAATCGTTGCAAATAATATGTAACGGAGGTAGTATTAAATTTAACGATTTAAAAGTTTGGTGGTAAAAAACTTTTTAAAAAAATTATTCGATATTCATGTCAAAAACATATTGTTTTGAGGTTCTAGGGGTCAATTTGGTCCTTTGGACCTGATTTGAGGTCATAATTGACAAACATTAT